TTGCCTGAAAATGTCAGCTTGACAAGATCGGGTGCTATGCATGAGCAATGTTCATGTGTGATGCTCAATCACTGCAAGAGTGTGTCTAGACCCTTGGGTGAGGGGTCTCATCCAGCCACGTGAATATGCAGAGTGGTGATGGTGGAAGTCTGCTCTAATAGAGAAATCCCGGTTGCAGCGACCAGGGTACCGGGAAGAAGGAAGACACAGGACAACAGCGGGTTATATAGGAGGCAGAGGGAGAGAAGCGGAAAGATTGGGTCACGATGCTGCCGATTGAGGACTATTTCCTCTAGGACTGGCAATGAGAGTCAGTGCAAAAGATGCAGTATGACATATAATTTGCGAAGTCATGGCAGGACCACCAAGAGTTGCATATCATCGATCTCTAGGTGGTCTGTCATTAAGAGTTGAGCGGAAATGAGATTGGGGCACAATCAGAGGACTCTGAGATGATAGTCTGTGTGTCCAGTGCTGCAGTACTTCGTGAGTTGATGCAACGGAAGGAGGAGGGATTGAGCAGGATCATGGACATGTGCAACAGTCAGGGTTTGCAGCCATGGCACTACTGTGAAAGATTCGAACTGATCACCTCCCCACTGTGCAGCCTCGCTGCTCCAAATGCCCACAATCTGCACCTCTCGCAGCTGCCCGACATTGCCCTTCAAATGGTCAAGCTGATTCCTGAACTTGGTCCAGTCTGATCTGCAGGTTATATCAAGAGCACTCCAGCACTGAGGGAACCGGACAATAGCCTCAAGGAGGCCAGCCATCTGTGGGATGTCCGTTTTGCACCAAAGACATACACCGAGCAGAGAACTGCTAGAGCATGAGAGCTGACAGGAGAACATGGTGACTGAGAGCCTGGAGTTGTCCAGAATGACACGACGTAACCATAGCACTTGACATGACAGCGATACGGCCCTCCAACACTTGCACACATTGTGCACAGGCATATAGTAACTGTCCATGTCAGAATGTGGGAACCATGACTCGGCTTTTGGTACCATAAGGATAAATATCAAGGTGAGGATTTCTTCGGGGAGGTGATGGATATGGGAGAGGATGAATTTCAAGCCCTGGATATGCTTCATCAAACCCTGCCATCTGGATAGAAGAACGGCAATTTTGATGTTGATTTCTTCAAATTCTTGTTCGTGTTTCGAAATCATATTGCAAATGTGAGTGGCTTCAGATTGCAAAGGTGCGTAGTTCACGGCTAAAAGATATGTACACCGACAAGGAAGAGAGTCTGGCATGGCATGAAACTTGATTGTCCCTGTTTGACAGAATTGCAGAGTTTGAAGTTGCATCAAGAAAACCATAGCCGAGATGTACCTATGAAGCATAACAATTGTGGCACACTTTGCAGCAGAGCCCACTAACCAGGCACTCAAATTTCTCCATAATCTCCTCCAAATCTTCACGGAGAAGTTTCAAGTTGCTTGCAAACTTTTCTAATAAATATTAAATATGTTTCAAGTTGATGACAGCAAGATGCCTGTGATGGTAGATGAGTCTCAGAGTCTCAGTTACTGTAGCAATTTGTAGGGGTGAAACATAACACATAACAGGGGGGTCCTTTTGTTTCAAAATTTACTGGTTGTAATGCACAACAGTGGAACCTTTTCAATTTGCCATTACACCACCCAAATTCTGGGAAAACAGCTTTAAAACCAGGATTAAGTTACTTGCTTTTGCCTTTCCATTCCTCCCATCTCATTGAATCCCAGTTTGTGAGTCTTGCAATTGCTACCACATTTCCATATCAGTATGGATGGAAACATGAGATGATTCCTAGGGTGCAACATGTAAATTTGAATGCAGATTTATTTATTGATGAATATTATTATCATTGTAAGGACAACAGGGAACATGAACGAGAAGGGAACTGAAGGGGAGAATGATGGACCAGACATGGCTGCAATACTGTGGCATGATGTACCCTGTGCATGCTCATCACATCCCACAGCATGGCCATGCACCTCCCATGAGCCCCACCCCATCATAACTCTGCCTTGACCGCGACTGTAAGCCTGCTCGCCCTGGTGGACATTCCCACCACCAACACATGACAACAAAGCAATCGCAAGGGATCATCCTGCACAGCCGATGCATTGTACCTCCAGGTTTCATCACACTACCACCACTATGTCTGTAGCCAGCATGCCTGTGCTTTGCCCAGTGAGGCACATGGCAGCAGGTCGCTTGCCAAACCTGTTTGCTGGTGATCCCCATTGTCACATGTGTAGCTGTGCCATCCCAGAGACCAGAGAAAAAGAAAAAAAAAAATGGCTGTGTACCAAACATTACATGAGACACACATGATGAAGGCACACCATGTGGTGCACATAATCTCAGAACACAGCAACAGGCACTCTCCCCATGCACACGACATGCCAGTGCGAGCACTTCTCCAGCATCACACTGACAGCACATCCCCATGCTAGCACAAGGATGATGCAGACAAGCATTGTGTGCATACCCCAGTCTTCTCCCATGCATAGGAGAACCCTGGGGAGAGCAAGCAAGCTCCTCCCCATTTAAAATGGAAGCATGGCCCTCAACATGTCTCCCCATCAGAGCCGCTGTTCCTGACAGTCAAGGAGTCAAACCCCGCTACAAACGGGTCCACACTGCATACACAGCACAGCGCCAAGTATGCCATACTACAAGGTGCACATTGTACCCCACATCAAGTGCAGCGACGAATGCACGGCAAGCCACACTGTTGTGCTCTGTATCCTGCTACTTGTGTGCAATGAAGATGGTGTCCCCACAAAGTGCTGTACACTTACACTGGGGCAAGTTCCAAAGGGTCAACTCGGCCAGGAGCCGAGGCTGCTGTAGAGAGAAGATCTGTTAGCAGACGTAAGAGGAGAGGTGGGATGAGGAAGGGAAGCCAGGTGGGAGGGGAGAGGAGACATATGCATGCATGCATGCATGAGAAAATGTGTCAATGAACAGATGGGTAGATGAATTAACAGTTGAGTGGATGAAGGGGATGGAGGTGTGGACACAGGGAATGTGGAACTGTGAATGCATGCCTTGTTTCCTCGTCTCGAAAACACCAGTGCAAGTGTACATACTCAATCCCAATGCACCTGCCGATGGGCCACAGAATGATCCAGCACGGTCCTCCCTTTCCATGCCTCCCTCTAGCACTGTGCCTGCAGCGGAGATCATGTCATGAGAGACACTAAATACTGCCTGGGAGAGGAGGCAACAGATGCGCCTTTGGGAATAATCAGGATGAAGTGAGAGGGAAAAGAAGTGTGATGATGCAGGGTATTCAGGAGACGTGGGGGAAAATACTATAATGGAGCAGGGAGAAGGTAGGAAATGGGAACAGGAACAAGTGCGGGAATAAGGAGGAGAAGCTATGGGACACCACACACTCTCCAGACGCCTAGTAAGTCATCGGCGGAGTGCTGAGCATGAGCTGGGCATAATGTTGGCCAGCATGACCACAGGCAATGGAGGACTTCCCCAACCATTCCTCTTCCAAAGGCACCTCTGGCGCTCGAGCAGTGAAGTGGAAGTTGTGGTACACAAGATACACTTGAGGCAGAGCTTGAGGATGAAAGTCAGACATGAAATTGTACCAAGGAAAAGGGGGGCAAGGTGACACACTGTTGGGAGTAGCCAACATTTTCCCTATGCATAGTAGGGGAGGAGATTAGAATTTAGATCCCCCTTGCAAGCACTAGGACACCAGTGGCAGATGAGAGGAAGAGAGATGGTGAGTGCCACCATCATCTGCCAAACAGTAAACAAATGTGTATATGGAAAGGGACCTATTCACAGTTCACCACTCTCCAAATCAATAGGATTGATGAGATGAATAGTTGTTGTGTGGGTTGTCTAGAGTGCAGATAATAGAGGGAAACACGTGATTTACTGAGTCAAGCAAAATTTGTCATCCCAGGAAGTCAGACCCATCGGGCTGTCATCCCAAAGTGGGAAAAGAATTTAAAAATGTGCGCTGGGGCTCATTCGGATTTCCACAAAATGAGGCATTGTCGGATGGTCTGCAACATCAAGTAGGGGTCCACAGGATAGTGACCAAATGGACATGCATGTTGAACTCGCGTAGATGACAATGTTTGTAAAGGAATGACACTGCTTAGTCGTGTTTTTCATGGGAAAAATGCATACTTGAAATAGGGTGCTACAGGACCCACTACCTAAAGTTAGTGGGCATATGCAGCACTGTACAGCACTTGCATAGCACTCCATAGTGCAGCATAGGTACATCCCTTCCCGAAAGTGGTCCCCAGTACTGAATAGTACTTCACAGCCATTTACGGTTTTCCTGATGTGCAGTTCACAGTCCACTTCGGCAACCCCTGGCGTGTCCAATTCCAATGTGAACCTGAATAGCCTGAAATATTCCTGAAGATGAAAAAAAGCTCAGGAGATGTCACCTCCAGAACCAGGGATTCCTGAACTTTTCAGTGTACACATGTGGCACTCGACACAAGTCAGTCTTTTGATTACTTGCACAGCGGTACCCGCACATTGGAAGATGATGTTGAGGCATTTTCTTGCGTGGTCTGGATATTAAATTGAGTTCAACGATCCAATTGATATGGCCCCCTGTACCGCAGTGGCCCATGCCAATCGATGGCAGCCGAGACTTGTCTGCCAAATGAAAGAAAGTGTTTGTTATGTAAATACTTGACTCGAGAGAATTCATACACTGTTGTCCTTCACGACACAGTGTCTGTGTCACTAAATTCCATGTCTGCAGACCTATCAGAGTAGGTGGCGGCCAGAGAAACAAAAGATCCTTGTTGTTTAATGTTTGTTGAAAGTTGTGCAGGTGTTCAAGATACACTGGGCTTACTAACTCAACATCCATGCAGCGCCTTTGAGCTAAACTACCCAAGGTACTTTCTCTCGGGCCAGCATGGCGGTGAGCCTGGCCACAGGGGACAAAATCAACTTGAATCTCAATGGACAATTGGAACGCAGGATTAATATTGCCCCTTTCCATTGGTTTGGTGGTGCAGTTGGTTTATCACTTCTGTCTAACCCACTTTGCACATGTACATGGACAGTCCCCAGTTCGAACCCGGGTCGAATCATGTTTTACTCCCCTCCTCTTGATGTGATCTTGTGTGACAGAATTCTAGGAGAGATTCTAGGAATTCTAGAGCACCCGATCAGGCCCTTACAATTCTCAGTAGACATTTCAGTCTGTGGGATGCTCAGAATACTCACTGGTTTGTCCTCAAAGCTACCAAACTCCATACCCAGATCTGTGGCTACCTGAAGGCACAGGTACCTGAACCCACAAGTCAGGATATCTGCAGGTTTTCCCATGGTTCAACTTGCAGTGACTTGTGCCATACCCTAGTCTTATACAAACCCATCTTGACCTTGATCCTACAATGAGCTAGTATTGGCTAAATGTAATGATGTACACATGCCTTAAAAGCAAAGGCAGAGCCCTCCTTGAGGTCCTCTGTGAGCTTCTGATTATACAGGTTCGTCTTCTTATTCTGGCCAGTCTTGAAGCCATACATGACTTTGACCAGGGGCTTGATTTTGGTCTTCAGCTCCCAGCACAATTGAGGCCTCTGAGAAGAAATCTCAAGTTAATTGGCCAATAATGGGAGCAAGCAGACACACCAATTTAGCTACTGCAGGCATCAATGACAGCCTTTCACCCATCTCCTCACAGGTCGCATTCCACGAGTGCTGGACCATGTGAGTTCTCAAACCTGCATGAAGGCATGAGTTGCACCTACAATTCCAGTGAAGGCCTGCTCCACACGAATGCACAGGCAGCAATGGTGGCATTGCATCAAGTTTGATGGGGCTGATATGCTGTCACAGAATGCAGCCTACCAACATGGTTGCATGGTGCAGTGGTTAATGCTGTTGTCTCTCCTTATAAAATACCTAAGGTCATAGGTTCAAACCTGGTGTTGGGATGTTTTTTGGTTGGCCACCCTTGAACACTGTTTAAACCTTGGTCAAGCAGAGCAGATCAGTGATTAATCGGTGATGAACCAATGTTCAAATTTTCTTCGGTGTTCTTCCTATCATTCATGCCAGGCAATGGCCAGCACCCTGCTCAACCAAATCAGTGCTCAAACCTGATTTTCGGTCAAGACCGGAATTGCTTAATCAAACTTCATATAAATTCTTAAATATATGTCTGTAATGTGATGTGAACTACATGGCACAATTGCCGCTGTAGAAACTGCTGTCCCAGTGCCAAACCTTTGTTGGTGGCCTTATAAGGTTTCTTCAACATGAGCTGCAGTACTGAAACGGTCGTATTCCGTGTACCAGGTGGCTCGCAGCCCTAGAGAGAAATACCTGTGTTTGAATCTCCTCCCATGGATTCCGATCCACATTAGCTCTCCCAGCATACAGGATGATTCAAGGTGCGGAAACAATCGATCCAGGTGACATGAAAGTAAGCTGGCATCCAATCGCACGGCGGTGGCAATGAGTGAAGGACCAGCATTCGCAGTCCACAGGAAAGTAGCGGTGTGGTGGATAAGGGGGAAGAAATTCATGAACAAAATGACCTCAAGAATTCAAGCTGTGGACAATTCTTGCCCAGAGTAGCAGTGGAAGTGAGGTCAAGGCCAAGCACTGTGGGACAGAGAGTGATCTCATGTTGCGCCGCATTTCTGAGAGATCGAGCAGCCATTGAGTGGAAAGGTGGGACATTCGATGAGGTTGAGAACCTCGAGCTGCCTGAAATCTTGGAGGGAGTCTGCATCATCGATGGTGTTCAGGCATATTTCCAGTGTGTGCAGCATCTTCACCATAAGGAGGAGATGAGATCACAAAGGGCTTTCCTAGTCCTTTTGCTGACCGTGCCATCCCACAATCGAGATTAATTCCATCATCTCAGAACCGAGGGTCGGCATGAGCTGTGATGAGTATTCACATTTGATAACAAGTGAAACTTGACCAGGAAGGGAGCCAAGTTCATTGAAGAAATGTAGGGCCCAACTGCGTGTGTATTTCGGATTTCCAGATAGCGGAAGGAACAGAACTCAGCGGAGTGCCTTGATAGGACAGGAAATTGTTGTGGAACCCATGCCACCAAATCAACAATGAGTGCAACAAGATAGGGAAGGGCGGCGAGTTTACGAAAGAAGTCTGGTGTTGGGGCTCCGCCCATGTTTCGGAGTTCCAGAGGGCGGAGGGAATTGATTTCAGAAGGGCAGCCTGAGAGCACAGACAACGGCTGTCTGTATAGTGCTAGGTGCCTCAAATTTGTGGCCTCGGCCACAAGTTTTGGAAAACATAACTCCCGCATAGAGGCTGCCCAGCCCGCGAACTAATGTTTGTCCGAAACCTGCTCGGTGAGCTTCTGGGGCGACCGTTGGACCACGCGTCACCAATTCACTGCGACAACCAGTCGGCGATAACTGTTGCTGAAAACCCAGTGATGCACGACAAGGCGAAACATATTGCATTGAAATACCACAACATCCGGGACTACATCGAGGACGGGGATGTCACCATTCACTACTGCCAATCGGGCGCGAATCCGGCCGACCTTCTTACCAAAATTCTTCCACGTGATACGACCTTACGATGCCGGCGAATGATTGGTCTGGAATAGCAACTGGACTGCGAGGTCAGTGGGAGTGTTGTAGTTTAGACCTCGCGTCCAGTCGCGTCCAGTCTCGATGGGGACTAGGGTCGAGTTTGGTTCGCGAGGGTTATGTATTATCGTAGGCTTGTAGCCGATCTCTTCAGTCTGAAGAGAACGGTTACAGGTGCGATTATCTTACTCCTAATATAATCAGTCTGAAGAGAACGGTTACAGTGTGACCTAGAACTCTTGACCTACAACAGTCATCAGAAAGAAACCGGGGAAAATGTCCTCAAAGGGAAGAGCACCTTCTTGGATGTACCCACTGGTGGCGGCAAGACTCTGGCTTACTGGCTTCCACTTTTCTACCACTGGGCTCCTGGCAATACCAAAGATGATTGCCAGAAAATAATCCTCGTGGTCGGCCCGCTAAGTGCATTGATGCAGTCGCAGGCTGCGGGTCTGGTATCAAAGGGTGTGCCTGCCGTGGCCCTCACTTCTGAGAGCAAAAATCCGGACCAGCTACTGCAGGCCAGTATCTTTTGTTCAGTTCAAATAATTTGCTAATTTTAAATCCAGGATATCAGCGACAACAAGTACCGTATCGTGCTGGTGAGTCCGGAAATGGCAGTAACTTCAAAATTCCACGAAAAGGTCCTTTCGGCCAAATCTTTCTCGGACAACATCATATCCCAAGTAATTGATGAGGGCCACTGTATCAGCGAGTGGGGGAATGACGATTTTCGACCCAAATTTTCGAAGCTGTCCATTCTTTTGGGGTGCCTACCTAGTGGTGTACCCATTGTCATCGGCTCCGCAACAATGCCCCGCGATGTTATCCTTGATATTCAGGCAAAGCTGCGACTGCGTAGGGATTGCGCACGGGTTTCAGTCTCAAATGAGAAGCGAAACATCGCTCTTTCCGTGCGCATACATCAGTAAAACTACATGTTTTGCTTTGGCGTCTTTGGCGTCTTTGCCAAGACGCTAAAGACTCCAAAGACACATTTTTTCCCAAGATGGGAGTCTTTCGCTAAGCTAGGTACGAAATCTTGCCCAAAGACATAGTGTCTTAGGGTGTCTTGGGAAAGACTCATAAGACACGACTTGTCTTGGGAGAGACTCTGTCAAAGACATTTTAAAGCCACTTAAAGACACATAAGATGGGGCAAAAAATCATATTGGCAGACTACTATGAATATGAATAAGGACTAAAGTGCGCTATTGAGAGCCTATTGTGGCGGCGGGGTAAGGAAAAACAGAAAATGCATATGTGTGGGATATTGCTACAAATGGTGACATTAAGCACAGATCAATACATTTATTAGAAGGACATACGTTCCGTGCGACAGGGTGCGGTGATGAGCGCACCAACCAAGAAATATCAGCGGGGAGAACGAGCCGAATCCTGTGACACATCGTTAGATTTGGAAGATTCTAATAAGAAAAAAGCCATTGACATACCGAGGGACAGTCTCCAACTCAGAAATACGTTTGTGACGGTACAAAAATCCTGTGGGAGATCACGGAGTCAGCAAGGTACGAAGCGACAACTAGGAATACCAAATCCACGATGGTAACCGGATTCTGAGTGGTGAAGATCATCCAAAGCGCGCTCGGAGCGGCGAGGAAGATTTGAGATCTTGAATCAAGGAGATGTTGAGGTGCTTGAAGGAGAGCTTGTGGGATTGAGGTCTTGGGATGTTTGACATGGTGAAGAATTGAGGGCTTGAAGTCTCGAGACACCTGACAGAGAGAGGGCGTTGCAGAAAGACCATAGACATGCAAGGCAGGGCAAAGAAGGATAGGGAAGGGTTACACACAAATCTTGAGTACATTTGGAGGGCCAACCCCGAGAGGAGACTGCGAGGAGGAGTGAGGGCAGGTGCGGGAGGTGGGAGACGATGGAGGGAGAGAGCAACCAACCATTTGATGGGAACAAATCATGCGAAACATGGTCACCATGTCGCCATCACGCATCATGATGCGGCGGAGTTCGAATGACTTAAGTAAATTTCAATCAGAACCCTAGCTTACTTTCGGAGTACCGCTTTCCTGCTAATTATATGGTAAGATTGGCATCCGAGGGATTGGTGAAGTATTGCAAGTTGATTGCAAGTAACTTTAGAAACACAAAAATTGTGATGGAATGAAAAATAGCTGCCCAAGACTGAAGATATCGTTCCCAAGACTAAGACACCCAAAGACCAGATCTCAAAGACCAAAGATGTCCTCCGCCAAGACAAAGATCTGGAAAGACATGGTTCAAAGACAAAGATGCCAAAGCAAAACATGTAGTTTCACTGATGTAATGCAGCATCCACAAGATACTTTTGCCGACCTAATGACACTATTTATTGCTGAAGATCACAAAGAACTGCTCCAAGAAAAATTGCCAATGGATCTCTTTGTGTGGGGGCTTCAACCGATGCATTGGGAATGGTAGGTACCCAGTTTTGTATTGTAGACCTGATTTGACGCTGAAAGAATATCTAGGGAATGGATTTTCAGCGGATC